GGTGCACAGTGTACCATCAGATACTTGCATATGATGGATGAGAGGGATTCTGAATTGTATCTGTGGAGATGTCGGAACGACAGATGGACTGATGTTGGAGGAGTTGTTTTCATGGTTGAGTGTGTTGGAGTTTACTCTAAACATGCTCAACTTATCACAGTAAGTCCTTGGGACCACTGACACAAGTATGGCTAACTAAATATAGATCTGGTGTTGCCGAAACATCTAAGTAGTGTAGTTGGGGACAGTGCATTCTTCATAGCATCAATAGAGTGTTTTCACCTGATGTTGGGTCCCCCCCCCCTTCGACATTCAGTCCCTGGATCTATCACAATACATCAGTGATAGCCAAAGACTTTTCTGGGTGAAAATGCAGCAAAAAATCCCAGCGTGATATGACAGACGATTAGTATTCACAGATTTTGAAAAGATTGATCATATTTTTAAAGCAAAACGACCGGTTTTAAAGAAGAATAATTGCTTTTAACATTCCAAAATCTAACTGCTCTTAATAGCTTTGACTTCGGGCCTAGGAACAGTCGGCCTCTGCTCACATATTCTCAAGCACATTCTCTATATTAAGCACTTGCTTTTTACAAACTTAAATGTTAAAATTTGCATAATTTTTAAATTTTAGTTTCCCACTGTATTTCGCTTTATTTGATAAACAAAAAAGAGAAAAAACCCCAAAAAACATCTGTAATTTGGACATAAAAAATAAACGATTTTCCAACCAACATGTATTGTGCAACAAACCAATTGCAATCATCCCCCCTCTTAGTCGAACAATAGTAAACGGAAAAAAATTCCTAAAATTAAAATGAATTTTATAACATATGTTTCTGTTGGAGCAAAAGTTGAAGTAGGAGGGGGAGGAGTTGTAGTACATAATATTTATTATGAAAATTATGTTTACAGTTAAAAGCATTTGGAGCTTTTTGATGATTCTACATACAATATGAATAATGGTTTAAACAAAAATTTTGAAACATGTCAGGAAAAAAAAAACAGAAATAAGTAATGATTTTGTCGCTGGAAATTTTGAAAATTTTTAAAAATATTAAATTTAACATTAAACTAACCAATATCAAATAACATTCTTCAGTTTAATAGAAAAACAAAATAAAATAAAAATTTGCTTAACAAACTTAATCAATTGCTATATAGTTTTAAAGCCGTCATTACATGAAAAATGTCATCAAAATCTAGTTTAATCGGTTAGCTAAACTAGTTAAGTGTTAAAAACTTAACAGGTGGTCAGTAGTTTTGTGGGTTAAAACAAAAACAGTAGAAGGTGTAAAAATAAAAACTATAAATTAATTGTCTCTAACAAAAAAATGTAAGAAAATAATCGGTAGACAAAACCCACTCAAATAGTCAATCAGTCCGTCAGTAAGTTTTATGCATTAGGGTGGTTTTGTAAGCATTAATTAAATTGATCAAAATCAATGGCATTAACCTCATTCTTAAGTTGTTGTTGTTGTTGTTGGATATATGGATGAATGATTGGCATGTAAATGCTTGAATAATTAATAAACATTTAAAACCCTTAGGGGATAAACATAAAACAATTAAAATATAATAATTTATGCTAATAATAATTAAATAATGCTGTAAGTAAAAAGCTTTTTAAAAGCAATGGATGATAAAATATGTAGAAAAGGGATTATTTTATAAAAGGTTTATAATTCTCAAACAGTTAAGGTTAATTTTAATATAAGAGATCTTATAAAGTAGGAATAGTGAAAGGAAGAATCGCTGTATCGGTTAAGTTATATATTGCTTAAAGATTCGAACCGTAGTCGTAACCAGAAGCTTACCAAGACCCCAAGCATTTATCTGATTTTATAGCAAATATCAAAAAATCGTATCGTAAGCCGATTGCTTTCATAATTTTTCGTTAACCGACCTAAAGCCGAAATATTTTTCTCGTCGAATAGACGTTAACCGACCGTAAGTCGGTACATATATGTCATCAAATTGTTTTCAAGCTAGTCTTAGTAAAATCCTAGTTAATCTACTCGGATTACAGCCGTAACTTTTGTTTTCTGCTGCAGGTAGTCACGGTTAGGTGCAGAGCCTCAGGCATCCTAATAATGTGAACTAAGAACTACCCCCCCCCCATACCTCACAGCGTCTGTCCCCCTATGTTAAGAGCGAGCGTGGGGTAAATGACCATCTTTGGTCGCCTAACGATCACGACCTCAATTTGGTAGCGTCTGTTCCCTTAGTAAGGGCGGCTACCAAATCCCCCCTTCTTTTTGATGGCGGTCCGAGACTGTGGTTTAGGTTACCTAGGCCACATAACCATACCTCTCTCCAGCGTCTGTTCCCTATGTTAAGGGCGGCTGGAAGGTACAATCTGGTTCTGTCAGTTAGAATGTTTTTTGTCGAAACAAAATCCAGGGTGCGTCTTACTCATATTGAGCGGCATCCTGGTCTGCGTCTGACTCCAGAGGAGAAGCGGCAGTGTCTTTTTCATACCTATGGTAGAGGTATAAATAGCAGTTTGACGAAATAGGACATAGAATAGGACTTAAGGATACGATACCTAACTGAATCGATATGGGAACCTATACTCAAATACTCTCAAGGGAAATATGCTATTGTAACGTTGGGGTTTCTCTAACGAGGTCCTACCCTTATCATTGAACTACTCATGCTGTATTAGTCCATAAATCGATCTAAAAGAATAAAATAGCTGCAGTAATTAACAAAGAAATTCCATTTTGGTGATCACCATTGACAGCCTATTTACCACCTAAACTTATTACAATCATGCATAAATTACGAATGAGAATCAAAGCTTTATGGCAACCTGCCGACGACAATTGCTCGGTTAGTAGTTAATTACGTTGCTTAAAAGAGGGAAATTTCCTTTGAAATACGACTACGACTGTTTGCTAACTGTTTCTCCTAGGAATTCATTGTGGAAGCCATCGCATCTTGAACATCACACAGTTGAAAGAACTCTTATATATACAAGGAAAACATATACAAATAAGTGATGGATTCCTGGAATCGTAATTGGTATACTGCAGCTTTAAAAGTCGCGATCACCGCAAGGAATAACAAGTTTGGTCAGGATGAAGCAACAGACTTAATGTCTACTGAACCCGCGTAGATTGTGCCGTCTTTAATGTATTCCCAGATTATGATCGGGTTTTTCATGGGTTAAAAATGATCAGAAAGTTCAAAAAGTTACCGACTCTGCGAAAACATGCAGTGTAAAGGCAATATTGCAAGGGTGGTTACCAAACATAGTTCAATAGCCAAAAAGAAGTATACGAAGGGGAAAAACGCGAGTGGACCCACGCTCCACTTATATAGACTTTCGTATTGACAAATCCACACTACTACTACTACTTTGACAACTGAATGTAGAGCTCGAACTATGAGTTGAACACTCCACTGGATAACCTAATAATACATAACTTTCTAACTGATAACTCCAATATCATCACAGCTTTTCCTCTAGTTTCGGGAATTCTTGAGACTATCAATCTCTAAACAACAATGTAAAAGGCCTGGAAGCAATATTTCCCCAGTTCGCCTAAAGGTAAGTTCTCAAATTAATTATCCCTATTATGGAGGAAATATGGATATCTGGGATAATGTGTGGCAGGATCTTTATGTCTATAAGCATTGCCAATGGATGCTTGATCCAGTCCACGAATAGGTCTGCAAACAAGGGTACTTTATAACACTGATCCCAATTATTGTTCTAAATAATTAAAGGGAGAGGAGTTTGAAATGTTTTGTTCTTCTCTCGTATTGGATAGCTAATAGAGGCATGTTACCCAGACCGATCCACAGACATATATTATTCTCATAACTCGATTCCCAATTGGCTAATGATTGTCAGCTCTAGAACTGTATCAAGTTGGAGTTTTTTCGTCAAGATAAATCCCCAAATAAGAGAATATGTGGCAGGATCTTAATATAAACAAGCAGTGCCAATGAATGCTAGATCCAGTCCATTAAAATTATCATTTTCACTTTATCTACGTAAATGTAGATTTGCAATATAATTCCAATTATTGTTTCAAAATAAATCTAACAAATTTCCAACTTTCTCAAGCTTAAAGGAAGCGGAATGTCAAAATTTTGTTCTCTTGTTTTAGGTATGTAGGTTAGGTAAATAGAGGCAGCAGTGTCCTGCCTGGATCATTGGCTTCTATCTTTCCCATGACCCGATACCCAATTGGCCAAAGTTTGTCAGCTCAGCAACAGCTTTTGCAACCGCAAAATTTATCCTCAGGATAAAACCCCAAATGAGTTCGGATCTAATCCACTGTATTATGGAGAAAAAAATTGATGTCTGAGAGAGGATCATTAGGTCCACAAGCAATGTCAGTGGGTAATAGATTAGTCCACGCAAATTATCTTTGTAAATAGGCAAAGCTTTTGGGAGATCTGAAAGAAAACTTTGCGGCTCATCAGAGAAAATTCCCTTCTAGTTTAAGTTTCTGTTTTGAAGTGTCATTGTAGATTTAGATCGCAATTCAGTCTGTATTCTGAAAGTCCATACGAAGCAAGCCTGCACATGGATGGAAGCAATGCAATCAGGTTTCATGGAGTCAGTCTAAAACCCAATATGACTGAAGCCTATTGAAAGTTGAAACAGAAAAAAACATGAATGTCGAGAGGACTCGTCTCTGAGGAACTTCTATGAGTTTTCAGGTATTCATTTCAAAACTTTAAAAACATTTGGCGATCAATCAGATAACTCCTAAGCAATAAAGTTTTATTAAAACCGGTAATTAAGAGGTAAAATGACCGTTAACCTAAAAAATTTATTAATTTTAAAATATCTATTAGTAACAACTAAAACTTAAACCTAATTTCCTTCATTTTCTCTTGTGTTTTAAAATGTAAATATTGTAATTTTAAAGTTAATTTAGTTAAAAAAAAGTTTTTTTTCTTCAAATTCCCATTATGAAATCCTTATGAAATCCTTAAAATATGATTTTCTTAAAACAAAACTAAAAGTAACTTACCTTTACTTCCTTTCAATATACTATTGAGATTATGATTATTGTTGCTGCTATTCCCACCTCCATTAACTGTTGTTGTTACTGGTGGTGGTGGTGCTTTCATGTTGCTATGATGATTGTTATTATTCGTTGATATTTGGCTATTTATAGATGAGGAGCCAGCCAAAGAAGCAACATCCTCACGGGAAGCAAGTAATTGTTGTTGTTGTTGTTGCTGTTGTTGCTGTGACTGATGCTTAAAAGCGGAAGCAGGAGCTATGCCTACAATACTACCACTACCGCCACTTAATATACAACCAGTTAAGGTTGTATCCGTTTTGTGGCCAATTATAGAATTACCTGGGACAGCAGAAACAGGCGGTGGCGTAGAATTCATTTTACTATTACTATTGCTGCTGCTGTTGGCATTTGTTGTTGTGCTACTGTTACTACTAGAATTACCGTTGTTGTAGTTTGTATTAAAATTATTATTGTTGTTGTTGTTGTTGTTGTTGCTGTTACCATTTGCATGGACAGCAACATTTTCTAAATTCGAATTTCCGTTAAATGTTGCTAAACCCGTTGTTGCGGCTGCTGATGCTGCTGTTACTGTGGATGTTGTAGTTGTTGCACTTGCTCCACCATTATTATTACTAGAATAAAGTAAAGAATTACCCACAGCTGGAGGTGGATGATAATAATTATATTTTTGTTGATGCTGCTGATGTTGTTGTTGTTGGTACTGTTGCTGCTGCTGTAAAAAGTCCTCTTGCTGTTGTTGCTGCTGCTGCTGTGCAGTAGCTAAACTAGAGGTGGTAGATGCCAAATTTGTTGTTGTAGTGACTGTAGAATAAATACAAGTTTCAGACATATTCGCATTTGTTATCGATGTTGCAGAGTTGGATGACGTTACTGATGTTACAGCAGCCGCATCTACACTATTGTTACTTAGAGTTGTCATAGTTGAAGAATTTCTTGCAGCTAATGACGGCATTTCTAAGCAGTAATTCTTCTAGTAGATGTCATTACTGTAACGTTGGCACAAAAAATTACACTCTTTTAGAAAACACAACTTCCGGATAATTGAGATTTTTCTTTGTTTTTCTTCCACTTCAACTAACGTAATGCAACACATTATTTCACATTCTTTTGAATTTTCTTAAAAAAAAAAAAACAACTTTCATTCACACAATTCTACGTAATTTAAATTCTATAGTCTCATTTAAAATTTATTTTTATTAATTATTTCTTTTCTATAAATTTTATTTTTGTTTTTGCAAAATTTATTGAAATAAACATTATTTTTTATGAATTTCAATTGTTGCATGAATGATTTGTTTATTTTAGTTATTTGCAAAAATATATTTTTAAAAAATATTTACTGTATATGTATGTATTTTTAAAATAAACATTGTATCACATTGATTTATTTATTAGATACTCGGTATCTAGTAGAATCTGTAAGAAAAGAAGAAAAAATATTTATTTTGTTAAATTTTATTCTCTTTAAGGTTTATTGTAGTAATTATAAAAATTTATAAATTTCTAAACTAATTGGGGTTTAGGTTAGGCTATAGAGGCAACCGTTTTACTTAAGTCCTTCTACCCACACCGGATCTCAAAACATATCTTGGCCCCATGATTCGTTTTCCAATTGGCCAAAGATTGCCAACTTATGAAAAGCTGTATCAACCCTAAGTTTTTTCCTCAAGGAAGAGGTTCTAAGTAGAGCAAAACTAACTACAGACTAGACTATTGACTAGTCTATAGTGTAATCTATAGACTAGACTATAGACTAGACTAGACTAGACTATAAACTAGACTATAGACTAGACTATAGACTAGACTAGACTAGACTATAGACTAGACTATAGACTAGACTATAGACTAGACTATAGACTAGACTATAGACTAGACTATAGACTAGACTATAGACTAGACTATAGACTAGACTATAGACTAGACTATAGACTAGACTATAGACTAGACTATAGACTAGACTATAGACTAGACTACTAGACTAGACTAGACTATAGACTAGACTATAGACTACATTATCTATTGACATTTGTTATCCTTTGGATTACAAATTGTGGCCATCCTATGCATCCTGAACTAACGGAAGTGAATCATTAAGTAAATGATTTATAGTCTAAATCCTGTGATTTGTTATTGGAGTCAAAGTGCTATTATTTTCATAAATACTTGTTAATTCCAAAAAATATAATTTACTACATAAATACTTACTCCCGCTTTTATAACAAACATGTGCTTTTTGGAGGAATATGTTGTTCTGTGATCATTGACCTGTTGTACATATTTTTGTGTTTATTTTATAGTATCAATGTGTTACTTAAAGTACTTAATGTGAGTATGAAATAGCTGGAAATGTGTAAAGACTTCTTTTCAGAACGCGTGCCACATGTGTTAGCACTTAAACACACATTTAAATTTAAAATAAAATAACAACAATGTCTTTTAATCATTTGTTTATAGTAGTTGTTGTCTTTATAATTATGTTAAACGTGTAGTGCTTAATGCAGAGCTAAAATTAAACGAAGTTCAACGGAACCTAAAGGATAATGCTAAGTAACTTAACTATAGTCTAGTCTATAGTCTAGTCTATAGTCTAGTCTATAGTCTAGTCTATAGTCTAGTCTATAGTCTAGTCTAGTCTATAGTCTAGTCTATAGTCTAGTCTATAGTCTAGTCTATAGTCTAGTCTATAGTCTAGTCTATAGTCTAGTCTATAGTCTAGTCTATAGTCTAGTCTATAGTCTAGTCTATAGTCTAGTCTATAGTCTAGTCTATAGTCTAGTCTATAGTCTAGTCTATAGTCAAGTCTATAGTCTAGTCTATAGTCTAGTCTATAGTCTAGTCTATAGTCTAGTCTATAGTCTAGTCTATAGTCTAGTCTATAGTCTAGTCTAGTCTAGTCTATAGTCTAGTCTATAGTCTAGTCTATAGTCTAGTCTATAGTCTAGTCTATAGTCTAGTCTATAGTCTAGTCTATAGTCTAGTCTATAGTCTAGTCTATAGTCTAGTCTATAGTCTAGTCTATAGTCTAGTCTATAGTCTAGTCTATAGTCTAGTCTATAGTCTAGTCTATAGTCTAGTCTATAGTCTAGTCTATAGTCTAGTCTATAGTCTAGTCTATAGTCTAGTCTATAGTCTAGTCTATAGTCTAGTCTATAGTCTAGTCTATAGTCTAGTCTATAGTCTAGTCTATAGTCTAGTCTATAGTCTAGTCTATAGTCTAGTCTATAGTCTAGTCTATAGTCTAGTCTATAGTCTAGTCTATAGTCTATAGTCTAGTCTATAGTCTAGTCTATAGTCTAGTCTATAGTCTAGTCTATAGTCTAGTCTATAGTCTAGTCTATAGTCTAGTCTATAGTCTAGTCTATAGTCTAGTCTATAGTCTAGTCTATAGTCTAGTCTATAGTCTAGTCTATAGTCTAGTCTATAGTCTAGTCTATAGTCTAGTCTATAGTCTAGTCTAGTCTATAGTCTAGTCTATAGTCTAGTCTATAGTCTAGTCTATAGTCTAGTCTATAGTCTAGTCTATAGTCTAGTCTATAGTCTAGTCTATAGTCTAGTCTATAGTCTAGTCTATAGTCTAGTCTATAGTCTAGTCTATAGTCTAGTCTATAGTCTAGTCTATAGTCTAGTCTATAGTCTAGTCTATAGTCTAGTCTATAGTCTAGTCTATAGGCTAGTCTATAGTCTAGTCTATAGTCTAGTCTATAGTCTAGTCTATAGTCTAGTCTATAGGCTAGTCTATAGTCTAGTCTATAGTCTAGTCTATAGTCTAGTCTATAGTCTAGTCTATAGTCTAGTCTATAGTCTAGTCTATAGTCTAGTCTATAGTCTAGTCTATAGTCTAGTCTATAGTCTAGTCTATAGTCTAGACTATAGTCTAGTCTATAGTCTAGTCTATAGTCTAGTCTATAGTCTAGTCGATAGTACAGTTTGTAGTCTACTCTAACAATAACAACTGAAATTTTTAAAATCAAAACACTAACTATTCCATCAATGTTAATCTAAAATAGAAAATTATTTTCACTTCTTCGAATTAAACAGAGAGAATGATGTTGACCAAATTGCAATTTCCCTTGCCAAAAAAAAAATTAACAAAAAAAAAAAAAACATGTTGTTCATCAACTTTTGGATACTTGTCTTATGAGTATTTGGTCATTATAATTATAGTGACTCATGTACACAAGCATTCATACATGGTCTACAAGAGTGCATTTGTGGTAACGTTGTGGCTACAAGTACATAAAGTACAACATAAATATTGTTGTCCCACAACCTGATGATCAGTTTTTTTTTATGTGGCGCGCAATAAAAATAAAGTCAAGCTTACAACTTGTTTTACTCTTGTTGCTGTTTTTTTTTTCTTATTTTCTCCTCACCAGCATCGACAGGTGTTTGTATATTATGGTTATGCCAGCAAGTGTCCACCATATACATACTATGACAAAATGTATAGGACAACACATCTTTAACAATATCAGTATAAGAAATTTGCAATACAAAAACAAGCGTTACCCCAGCAACAAAGTAGTCATTATGATTAAAAATCGCGAGTAAGTTTCCTCCTCCTCTTGACCGCGACAATAAAAATATAATAAATTTGTAATAAAAATTCAACACAAATATGTAAATACTTTCTCATGTAAAGTTCTTATAAACTTAGTGGAACTTGAAATAAGTGGGGTTATGTTGCAGTTACTGAGCAAAGATAGTTCCGAATGTGAAATCATCTCTAATGGTTGGTCTGACAAAGAAACCACAGAAACAGAACGTTTTGAATCATCCGAAACCACTGCCTAAGGGTCGTTCTCACGTTATTTGTTTCGGAGTCATACACGACCATAGATTGTTAACTCAGTGACAGTTGTATTAATCAAAAGTTTTTGAGTGTTACAACAACCACTGCCTAAAGGTCGACCAATAATGTATTAGGGAAAGTTAACAAAAACTATTTCTATATTCCACACCCAAGACCCAAGTGTCTCACTAATTTTAAGACGATGGCTTGCTTATTCCAACGTTAAGTCAAACTGATGTCTTATTTCAATGATGAAATCAGGCAATCGTTCAAATCAAGTATATATAGCAAGGCGTTTGGACCGACTTTACTGCCTAGAATACCTAAATCAACAGTTTGAATTCATCCAGATCGCTCAACTTCAGCAAATATTAAAATGATCAAAAGTTTCCCCCTTCCATGGAAATCATCTGAGTTCAGCAGAAACGGGGAGTTTATCTTCGTACTAATCTAACGGTGGTTGCTAAGTTAGATCACAGACAAAGTGATCCGGATCTAACACTAGGTCACTGTGTTTAATTATACCAATAAGAGCAATAAGAATAGATCAACAATTCAATTCAAACAGATCCCTCAAGATCCTTTAGAAATAGAAATGATAAGAAGTGAACCGCTTTCCAAAAAGTTGTGGGAAATCGTCTGAGTTCCGGTAGAAACAGGGAATGCTATATGAGTGCATTGAACTTATCTACGTACTGATCTAACGAATGGTTGATAAGGAGATCATAGACAAAGTGATCCCGACCCCGAGGTTCTTCTAAATCATCTGAGTTCTGGTAGAAACAGGGAATATTATACGAGTGGATTGAGTTTATATTCCTACTAATATAACGGGTGTTTGATAAGGAAGATCATAGACAAAGTAATCCCGATCTAACTCTAAGCACTTTAGAAAGCAGAACCAATAGTTTCAAGGTAAAATTGTGGATGTAATAAGAGGAGGAAATCTCTTCACCACAAGTGAAATATGGTAAGCTAGACCAATGAAGCTAACGAATCAACTATTCCTGAAGTAAAACGTTATTCTCGTTAATAAAAATCTGTGAAGATCTTGTATCCTAATAGTAATTCAGCGGTGGAATATTCGGATATGGCAGCTCAAAATTTTGAAAATACGTTCGTTTTCCAGGCAATTCAATCGACTTTCTTCGATCAGCATTACCAGGAATTCATTCGGGACGAATAACTCAATACATACAAGTTAGAGTCAAGTCCTTGTCGAACTGATGGGTAAATTCTATAAATCATTAAGTCCTAGTCCATATAAAAAAAGACATAGATCAAAATAGAATTTCACCGCGAGAACTCTGGCCAAAGTTTTCCAGTTTATTCTACCGTAAGAAGGCATTTACTTGCTTTAAAGGAAAGGGAGTTCCAGGTAGTTAGCTTGTCGAAAGCAAAGTCACGTTGAGTAGAACCACAAAGATCTTATGAAGTGACCCTAGCGAGAGTAGGACGATATACTCCTCAAAATAAGCCAACCTGAGGTTAGTACAGGTACAACTATACAAAATTAGACGCGCGGATTCAGAAGAATATAGAGCATATGGTGAGAACAGTAAAACTCCGGAACACTTTCTTTGTCATTGTCAGACTTTCATCGAAATTAGATCTGTCTTTCTGT